GGGGGTAAATGTGTGTTTGCACAAGTGCACACTAACAGGGAAACTTCTCGGGAACGGCAGGAGCAGAAGAGGAGGAGGGCAGATGTGGGTGAGCGCTCCAGACTTGATCCTCCATCTCCGTCTCACAATTTCAGAGATGCTTGTGGGGATGCCCTTGGGCCAGGCTGTAGGTGTGGTAGGGGACAGGGGGTCCCCAGCTCCCGGCTCCACAGGGATCGTCCCTCCCAGAGCCCACAAATGGTCTTAGGGTGTCATGTTGGAAGCTGGTGGCCATATGAAGGAAGGAGGCCTGCAGCCTGCGGCCTAGCCTTGTGGTGTGGCTTTTCCAGAGCTTCCCGTGCCCAGGAGAGGCCAGGCCAGTAGTGGGGGAAGGAAGGAAGGGCCAGCATTAGCCAGGGTCCAAGGCCAACTGCCCCTTCTGCCAGAGTTGTGCACTGCAGACACCCCTGGCCAGGAGGCGTCTTCTCACTTCACAGGCTCTGGCTGGGAGGACACAGTGTGATGTTGGCAGCAGCTGCTAGTTTTGCAGACATGCAAGACAAAACAGGTGTCCTTCATGGTAAAAAGTGGCAGGCTGTTTGCTTCCTTCCTACATAGCATTTTAAAACACTGTAAACTATTTGTGGTGTATGTATCATCGTTTTAGAGTATTAATAAACGTCTATAGGTTTAAATCATAACACTATCAAATAGACTTTTATGGAATGACAGCAGGACGGTGCTGACCAGGCCACAAGTTACAGGTCACAAGGGTTATGTGACTCCTGTGGCTGGGGAGACAGAGCAGCCGTCAGCAGAGGCTTTCCACTGGAATATGTCTGCCACATCCAAACACCGGGCCCAGGTCTTGCCTATGGACAACCTGAGCATGCAGGTAGGCCGGCATCCGGAAGGAGAGCCGTGTGCCCATGAAGCCAGGTGCACGGCTTTCTGCCTGCACCCAGCCATCTGGTATGGGGTCAGCAAAGTATTTGTTTAACTAAAGAAACAAACCAGCCAGGCATGGTGGCTCACGCCTGTAATTCCAGCACATTGAGAGGTGGAGATGGGAGGATCATGAGGTCAGGAGGTTGAGACTATACTGGCCAACATGGTGAAACCCCATCTCTACTAAAAATACAAAAATTAGCTGGGTGTGGTGGCGTGCACCTATAATCCCAGCTACTTGGGAGGCTGAGGCAGGAGAATCACTTGAACCTAGGAGTCAGAGGTTGCAGTGGGCAAAGACCATACCACTGCACTCCAGCCTGGTGACAGAGTGAGACTATCTCAAAAAAAAAAAAAAAAAAAAGAAAGAAGAAGAAATAAACCACAGAAATAAATCCAATAAATTAATTTTTTGTGGAGGTTTATTTTCCCTTTCACAAACAAATCACTTCTCAGGAGGAATAACGTGGGAGTAACCACAGGAAGATCACTTGGAAAAGCACTCAGAGATCAGTGTCAAGGTAAGCTTCTATTTGCCCCCGTTATTTTCTAAGGAAGATATCCCTTCAACGCCCCCAACATCACATTAACCTTACAAAGGGAAGCAGGACTGAGAAGCAACAAAGTGTCCCTCATCAGAGAGCCCTGTCTATCAAGCAGTCATTTCAAAAGTGTTTCAGATGCGACACCACATGGGTTCTCACCTTGTCGAAAGCAGGATAGACAGCACGGATTTCCGTCAACCAGCCGTATGGCATGTGACCCACAGGGTAAGTGGCTGTCAAAATCGCCACTGCCTGCAACAGAAGAGTTGGCAGAGTTAGCAGGGTATCAGCAGAAAGTCCTCCAGGAGCGACAGTAGGTGACAAAGCACGCCAACTCAGGTGCAGAGGACAGAGCCCTCCACACTGGGTGACAAGCATCAGGGTGGGGGGATGTGCACAGGATGGCCAGGGAGGGGAGGACTGACAGCGAGCTGGGCTCCTAAGGGCACTGCATCCCTGGGAGTGGAGTGAACCAGCCAACAACGTGGACATGAAACAAGGAGGATATATCACGTTTCATGTGGATCCAACAAGAAGTGCAGACCACTAGCTGAGAAGCCAAGACTTCTTTTTCTTTTTCCCTTCCTCCCGCCCTCCTTTCCCTCTCTCTCTTTCTTTCTGCCAAGATTTCCCTCCCTCCCTTCCTCTTTTTCTTTTCTTTTCTTTCAGGGGAATACCGGAGTTTTATTATTACTCAAAATCTGTCTCCCCAAACATTGGGATCTGAGATGAAATTACAAGGGGTTGGAGCTGTCTTCTTTCTCTGAGTCACTTCCTGGGTGGGGGCCACAAGATGAGATGAGCCAATTTATTGACCTGGGTGGGACCAGCTGATCCATCAAGTGCAGGGTCTGCAAAATATCTCAAGCACTGATCTTTGGAGCAGTTTAGGGAGGGTCAGAATCTTGTAGCCTCCAGCTGCATGACTCCTAAAGCATAATTTCTAATATTGTGGCTAATGTTAGTCCTACAAAGGCAATCTAGTCTCCAGGCAAGAAGGAGGTCTGCTTTGGGAAAGGGCTGTTACCATCTTTGTTGAAACTATAAACTAAGTGTCTCCCAAAGTTAGTTCAAGCTTATGTCCAGGAATGAACAAGGACAGCTTGGAGGTTAGAAGCAAGATGGAGTCAGTTAAGTTAGATCTCCTTCACTGTCTCAGTCATAATTTTGCAAAGATGGTTTCAATCCCTCCCTTTGGGTTTTAATAACACCTTAAAGTGTAGGCTATGACGTTGGGAAAACGCTGTTGATCGCTCAGGTCCACCACACTCCAGAATCTTTGCTCATTCCATTGAGCCACTCAGAACCCTCTAGTTTAGCTCCATTTATTCTGGATTATCAAAATGAAATTGCAAGCCCTCTCTGCTCTCTGCAGGGTCTCTTCCTTGGGATCCACCTCTAAGCCTCCACTCCGTCCTTCAGGGACGCTGACATTTTGCGTGGCTGTTGTGGCTCTGGGCTGTTACTCTCCTTCCAACCCAACTCACCCCCAGTCTGTTTGGTCAATATGGCCCGACTTAGATTTTTAATTTAAGAAAATTAAGTATGGTCGGGTGTGGTGGCTCACGCCTGTAATCCTAGCACTTTGGGAGGCCGAGGTGGATGGGTCACCTGAGGTCAGAAGTTCAAAACCAACCTGGCCATCATGGTGAAACCCCACCTTTAAAAAAACATAAATAAATAAAAGAAAAATAAAATTAAGTACATATTTTGTGCAGAAAGCTATCGGTGTGTTTCCATGAAAATGAGAGTTTCTGGCCAGATACAGTGGCTCATGCCTATGATCCCAGCACTCTGGGAGGCCGAGGTAGGAGAATTGCTTGAGCCCAGGAATTCCAGACCAGCCTGGGCAACAAAGCAAGACACCATCTCTACAAAAGAAATTAAAACATTAGCTGGGTATGGCGGCTCAGGAGGCTGAGGCAGGAGGATCGCTTGAGCCCAGGAGATGGAGGCTGCAATGAGCTATGATCATGCCACCATTCACTCCTACCTGGGTGACAAAACAAGACCCACCTCTTAAAGAAAAAAAATAGGCCGGGTGTGGTTGCTCACACCTGTAATCCAAACACTTTGGAGGCCAAGGCTGGCAGATTACCTGAGGTCGGGAGTTCAAGACCAGCCTGACCAACATGGTGAAACCCAGTCTAAAAAAAAAAAAAAAAAAAAGAAAGAAAAAGAAAAAGAAAATGACAATTTCTTCCCTATGTGAATGAAATGGAAGAAAAATGAAAACAAAGCAACTAAACGTACATTCTGGTAGCGTTCAACACTCTGTCTAGCTTGTGAAAGAGGAGGAGGAGCTTCATCTGTTTTAATTAACAAAACAGCAATGCCCAGAGGTTTCAGGAACATGAGGTTTCAGGAGCAAGTCCCCAGCTGTATGCAGAAAGCGTGGTGTGGTTTGGCATGCTGGAACAAAAAAGAGCACTGGGATCGGGTGGACCTGCATCCAAACCTTCACCTCATCGCTCACCAGCTGTGCGAAGCAGCACTTCTCCCACTGCCCCCCTTCTTGCTCCTCCGGTGGAGCAGTAAGAACAATAATATCCACCCCATAGGGTTACTAGGGAGTCAAGGAAATGTGACTAGGGAGTCATAAATGCCTGGCGCATGAGCAGATGACCAGCAAATGCCGGTGCTGTACCCCACATGCTGTTCCTATATGCCACCGAGGGCAATTTTCAAATGGCTCTAAAGTATAATTTGTCCTTTTTCCTTTTTTAAAGGGGAGGATGGAATTCTAGCACACAGGTGGCAGGGGTCCCATACTTTTTATGAGAAACTTGAACTGAAGTATTCCAGAATAAAAGCTGTGTGTTACCGTAGCCACCCAAGGTGACGTTTGTGATTAAAAAAACGAAATCCTGGAACACATGGAAGTAAGAGAACGCGTTCTGCTTTTGATTTATATGCTTCTCTTTCCAGGGGGACATGAGCAGCTTCCCGGGACAGGGAAACTGGCAGGGACTCTGGCTGGAGACATGCTGACAGCGCAGTTGGGGCGCCGGGCTGCTCCCCGCAGGGCAGTTCCTGGACGGGAGGCCCTCGTGGGCAGCCATGAGCCTTCCTCAGGAGCAGCAGTTCCAGAGATGGAATTAATTCTCCAGAGGACAGTGGAGGAGGAAGCCAATGAGTAATTCTATTTGTTCAAACCCAACTTGAAAGAGGGAAAGATGAGTCAACTCTTTCTTTGGAGTGGCTGCCAGTTTCCAGATAAAGTTTGGTCAATCAAGGAGCTCCTCGTCGGAGGCGGGCGGGCCAGGCGTGGTGCGGTGGTAATGGGTGGGGTGGCACATGCAGGCTGGTGAAGGGCAGGTGAGGGCAGGCCAGTTCCACACAGAGGCAGCAGCCCTGCAGCTGCTGGGTGTGTTACACTGCACTGCCACGTGACACTCTGTCATCCTCTGCCACCACGGTGGAGAGGCCCGGTGCTGACTCCAGGGACATGGAAAACGGAGTGGGAGTCAGAAAACCTGGATTCTAACACTAGCTTCCAACTAGTTCTGTGTCTTTTTAAACCCTTTCTGTGCCTCGGTGCCTCATACGATAAACAAGAAGGATGCATGACACGCATGACCTGTTTCCTTCCCTCATCATAAAAATATAAAATTCCATGATTAGAAGTCACTGACCGAGATCTTCATGGCTTCCTCGTGTGACTGTCATGTAATTTAATATTGGGGAATTACTTGAGCTCTCAAGAAGAACTGGAAATAAATTTCAGCCCCCCACTGGCCCACCAAGGTGATTATAAGCCCCACATCCCCAAAGCATGGCCTACCTCTGTGGCTGCAGAACTGCCACCAAGGTCTCGGGAAACAAAGAGGTTGACAATAGGTCGACTGATTCTCTGTGTGGCCAAAATGAGAGCCAAAGGCCACCAGAAACTCAGCATCTTTCTTATTGTTGCATCTCCCTGCATTAAGAAATGAAGATAAAAGTTACCTAAACCCTAGAAGTAGAATGAAAAAAATGATTCCGAATCAAAGCTTTTCCTTTGTATGTTAATCATGAGCCAATTCACTATACTTGAAAGTAATATAAGGAAAAGCCTCTGTGGACAAGCCAAGTTGAATTAAAATAAAATGTTCAGTCTTATTAGAAATTAACTGAGATAGCTGGCGAGCGGCTGCAAAATTAAAACACACACTGAAGCCTAAAAGATCTTAACCACTCTTTTCCATACTGGGACTCAGGGAATCTCTAACCAAGGTAGAACCCATGTCGAGGGCCTGAGAAACAGGTTTGAAATTAAGTCTTTGTTAATCTCATCAAATGGACTGGGTAGAAGCCATGTCAGGAAGAGGTAACTTTTAGAAATAAAAAGTTGCTATAATTTATTTTGGAATCAGTCAGCTCATAAAAATGTGTCCGATTATTTTGGCAGTGTAGAAATTGACTACAGAGGTTCTTATCTTGGAGCTCTCATGGACGTCATGTAAACTGTTCAAAAGCACAATCAAAATAAAGGCACGTAAAGAACAAGTGATGATTTCTAAGACTTCTGTGGCCAAGGTGTGGGGCATCTTTAAAGCCTGGCTTTCATGATGCGATTTTGGTTTTGATTGTTCACGAGGGTGAGAGTTACGTCCACTTTATTTCCTTTTGCTGGTGGCTAAATGTTAAGAGACAGATTGTTATCGTCAACACCAATTTGTGGTTGGCTTAGTGATGGGATAACTAGATAGGATTTCACTGACAGCCTGACCTGGATGGAGGTAAGTGGTCAATACAATTACTGCTTGACACGACAAAGTAATGTGTGGCTCAAGTGGGGATCAGGGTGAGGTGAGGGGATGAATACATGTCTTATGGCTAAATGCAGACAAACCAAATGAGGTCTAATACCTATGGGTAGGGAAAATTGCACACACAGAAACCAGATACTATTTATACTTACAACAACAGAATGTTTTGGTCATCTGTATAAGGTTATCTATCTCACGCCTACTTGTTTCTTATCCAACTTTCAGGCCACAGCAAGATCTACCTCTACCAAGGAGGCTTCTTACACTCTCCCAGTGTTAGTGTCTCCTCAGTTCTCATGCAGGTGCCATGCTGTTTTGGATGACTGTTTAACTGTTGCTTCTGTATTGTTCTAATCTGCCAAATGGGATATGACGCTGCTTGAGGGTAGAGACCATATCCTAACATTTTCTGTGCTGCTCTATGGTACCTAATATTGTGCTTGGTCCCCAGGAGGTACCTGAATAAGGGACTGGGCTTGGCCATTGAAGAAAGTATAAACAAAGCCTGGATCCCGGCTGTAAAATTAAACACAATGAAATGTAAACTCACAGGCATCATGGGTCCTAAAATCTTTGTTGACTACAGGATAACTTATGATTGAGAGCAAGGGAAACCACGAATGTCGTATCTATTCCTCGACCACAGATTCTCTGTGCCTCTGTCTCCTCCTCTGGGATAAGGAGGCTGGACGGTGACTTCTCAGATCACATCCATCTGTTAGAGTTCATTAATTCTCCAACTGTCTTTCCCTGCAGACACCTAGCACTTGGCCTTTGGGTATGACATCCTGGCCAATTTCATGATCTGATTTCACTGATTTCTCATTTTATATAGAGGCGGAATACAGCTCCACTCTGCTCTGAGTCTCAGACAGACTGCTGTTGGGTTGGTAAACGTACCCCCAGCTCCGGGCCACTTCTGTCGGGGATGATGTCGTGAATGTTCCTGTAGTAGCCCAGGCACAGGGTGGTGCAGCGCACAAGGGCGCCCATGTACAAGGAGAGGATCGGGATGAGCAGGGGCTCCCGGCATTCCAGGTGACTGTGAAGCAAAATGGCTACAAAAACAACCTGAGAGAAGGGGGAACGGGAACAGGTCAGAGGGGAGAAGCGGGAACCGTCCCACAGAAGCACAGGGGCATGTACTTGAACCTGAGACAGACCTCTGAGCAAAGATCTTGACTTTTATGTAAAGAGAACTGAAAATTGGAAGATGACCCAATGCTGCTCTCATATAATTCAGGTGCAGATGTTTGGGATTCAATGGAAGAATACACCAATCATTTTGTTATACCCACCAGGAACGATTAAAACACCATTTATACCCACCATTCTTTAAAGCAACTGCAAAAATCTTTCAAGGCATTTTTTTTTTTTAAGTTACTGGTTTAAAAAACATTTACAAACTTTGGTCTCCCTTTCCCTCCAAATGTAGCTTTTCCCTCTCGAGGCTGGATACTGAGGTGTGTATGTAACACACAACAGAGGACTAGGCTACATTTAACAAAGGAAACAACAGTAGTGATCAATGACGTACACAGGAAAATAGGCATTAATGTTTATAGGACAGAAGGCACTAAAAATCGGCTGGGTGCCGTGGCTCACACCTGTTATCTCAGTGCTTTGGGCGGCTGGAGCTGGAGGATTGCTGGAGGTCAGCATTTCCAGACCAGCCTGGGCAACATGGTGAGACCTCATCTTTTTAAAAGAAAAAAAAAAAATGAGCCAGGTGTGTGGTGGTGCGCACCGGTAGTCCTAGCTCCTTAGGAAGTTGAGGCAGGAGGATCGCTTGAGCCCAGGAGTTTGAGGTTACAGTGTGTTTTAATCGTGCCACTGCACTCCAGCCTGGGTGACAGTGAGACCCTATCAAAGTCACTGAAAGTGCTGCCAAGAAACACCAACAGTAATAATTATAAAACAACTTACATTAACATTTAAGATACTAACCTATAAAAGTAGAACAGGTTGAAATAATCAGAGTCAGGAGAGAATGAAATTACCATCAAGTGTATATCTGTATTCAGCAGTACAGTCTCTAAAGCAAGCTTAACAATGTATTAACCTCCCTATCCTGCAGAAATCAGAGAATCAGCCCAGCCTTTGTCTAGAGTCCTCCTGGGATCCACTCATTCAAAAGCATACTGAGAAAAAAAGCAGGACAATGTATATTCCTGAGCTACATCAACCTTAATGGCCAAATGCCAATGGAAAAATAGGCATGTAAAAACCAGGACGGCAGTGGTGGAGGGCTGGTGGGAAGGACCGTGTGACTGAGGAGGGGACAGAGAGATGGATTGAAGATCAGGGAAGTTGCTTGCTGTGTTTAATGGCAGGAAAGTCATTAGTAAGAACCATCTGGGTGGACTGATGGGGGTGGAAGTCAGCTTCACGTAGGTAGAGAATGAAAGGGAAGTGAAAAAATAAAGACAGTGAGTGGAAGCCACCCTTCCAAGAAATTTGGCTATAAAGTGATAGAGAGAACTGTAACTAAAGAGGTAGGTGGGAGACACGGGAAGCTTCTTGTTGCTGTGTTGAGATGGCAGAGATTTGAGCATGACAGGACAAGGGAAATGACGCAGGAGAAAGCAGGGAACAGGTTCCTGAGAAAGCAGCACAGGCCAGGACCCAGAGGAGTGGCCCTGGATGGGAGGAGGGACACCTCCTTCACTACGATGAGAAGAAAATAGAGAAGATGCCTGTTGGAAGGTAAGCGTGTAGGTTTGGTGGCTGGAAGGTGACGAATTTGGTTGCTGCAATTGACTCTGTGAAGTGGGAAATGAGGTCATCTGTTGGGAGGTGAGAGGTGGAGAAACACCCTCTGAAATAGTTCCTACAGAGTCAGCAAAGGTATGGGATAAGATTACGCATTTACAGCTTGATCACTTTGTTCCATTGTGTAACCTTTTGCAGAAGCACCACGAGAGTGAAGGAAGAGGCATAACATAGCATTGGTTCAGAGGAATTTTCTCCGAAGGCTGAGACGAAAAGGCAGGAGATAAGGGAATTCACAGGAATGCAGAGAATGTATACATTATGATCTGACCATCTTTGGAATGTCAGCTGACCTTGAAAGCCAAGGGCTGATGATGGCAGAGAGTTAGAGGATGGGAAGTCTGTGGAGGGCAAACAACCTTGAGAATTCTCACCTTGATATCAAGCAAGCTAAGAAGGTCCAGGTGACCAGAAAATAAAACAAAAACAGCAATATGTTTTCACAAATCCCTTGGCAATGACCGCCTGGAACATACAACTATTGAAATATGACAGCACAGAAAAGCACTGCATGTCTGCACCAAACCAAGAGGTTTTTTGTACTATTGTGCGAAACTCATTAACTTAGTAAAATCTGAAGAAAAAAACACCCCTAGAGAATTGCCACTGAAATTCGAGGCATTATCATTGGTGATTGATGATTGCTTGCTATGTATGCCAAGGTGGTATTTCAAAGTACTTTGCATGCAATCTATTCACTCATTACCAACTTAGATATGTTATCATACCTAACGAATGTTTTCAGGTAATAAGAGGAAGCTTGAGGGTAAAAGGCTTAAAACGAGAATTTATTCCTCTAACCAAATTGTGGTAGGAACTCAAGCGGCAAGGTTTAAAATAACTACTCCATCAGGCATAGCCTGAAGCCAGATGGCACCTGAACTCAGCTTCCACGCTCCCACTAACCAGATCTGTTTATTCTGAACTCGCGGGCCTTCCAACAGGCAAGGGCCAGGATCAGGTTTAAAATAGAGAAGGAAAATGGCTGTAGGTGTATTGGCAAAGTCTTTTTCAGAGACAGGCTTTTCTTCTTTTGTCCTTGGATGCCTACTATGTTTATTTTAGGCAAAGCTAAAGTTTTTTTTTTTTTTTTTTTGTTTAAAAAAAAAAAAATCTACAAATGTTTGTTCACAAATGCTCACTGACTTGCTGATGCCAGCGTTTGAAATTAGAGGGGCTTCCCGAATTTCAAACTAAGTGATTAGAGTGAATAAGGCAGTTCATCTCCCAGAGGAGGCAAAAAGTAAGACTGAGACAAAATTCTCTGCCAACTCTTAAGAAAATTAACAAAGACATACCAAAGAATGATGGTTGCTAGTATTTTCACACACACACACACACACACACACACACACACACACACACACACACA